ATGAATGTTCTCAGTTTTTTTTATTCATTAAATTTCCAGAACTTCAAATACATTAAAACGGTATTTTTTAGACTTGAACATTATTAGAAAAATACGTTTTACTTTAAAGGCAATTAAACGATTGGTTTTTAGATGAAAGTTTTTGTAAAATCCAGTATGAACCGGTGTTGTTTTCTTATTAATTATGCTACTCAAACAGTTAAGCAGATCTGTGTATATTTGTTAAAGCATATCAAACTTTATTGAGAATATCTATTGACTTACAAAACCTCTAAGCTCAATAGGGAATGCATCCTATTAGTAATTCAGGGTCGGTAGTTCAATTCTCGGGAGAGGCGTAATTTTCATTGACCACTTTATATCATGACATATATCAACTTACATTACACAATTTCTTTAATTTCGTATTATATTTATAAATTGATTGTAATTGTATGAAATGATTCACATGAGAGGCATATCGACATTTCTATTAACTCTTGGCCATTTACTATTCCCTGGATATTACATATTTTACAATTGTTTAATATCATATATTATTTACTTGTTAGATTATTACATTTTGCGAACAATTCGTATCATTATTTTATGACGAAACAACATTACTTACGTATATGGTGAAGGATGATAATGATAAATGTTTTCTTCTACAACAAGTCCAGTAACTCAGGACGGAGAAAATAACCCAGGAATCGAGCAGCATTACTGTAGGGGTGTAACGATACACCTACCTCACGATGCGATACGTATCGTGATATGCAGTTACAATACGATACTTTTCGATACAATACGATTTCTATAGTAAAAGACCAGTAAAGAAAACTTTTAATTATAAAAGTGTAATAGTTATAATATTTGAAATTCATTAAACTTAACATAATTAAACATAAACAAGCTTTTACATCAATTTTATGACTAGAATAGATTAGAATATAGAATTTCATCACATAACTACTTTACTAGAGGGTTCAAGTAAATCTAATGTCTGTATGGTGTGATTTGTGTCACACCTCTGTAGTCTGTACTCAATTGTCATTAAATCACATTTAAGTTCTCCGTTATTTTGCAATATGTATGAATAACATGAAATAATATGGTCATCATACTAACTCAACACTGTACACTGTAATTTGTAAATCATTTAAGATATGTATGTATTAAACAGTGCATTAAAAATAATTATGTCTAAACATTGATAGCTCACAATTATTTCACTGGAAAAGAATTGAACACAAAGTTCCACAACCAGACAGAATACAATTAATGAGACGTCCTTTCATTGGTATTTTATTTCCAAAGAATTTTTTAACTTAAAGCAGCATGCTTCTAAATTCAAGCTATTTTTACAAAAAATTTGATAATCTTTTTTATATGGAGGGTTATTTATGCAAAAATTACATCTTGCTTTCTTACGTTAGGGCCCAGTTACACAGACGGTCGGTCCCCAATCGGTCATTTAATTTTAAATTTACTTGCTGTTATGATCGGTTGTCATGCGTGATTTTATTTCTGGTTTTCTGTGTAAACGGCCATCGGTGACAGAAAGCAAACTCAAACGGGAAAGGGTCGATGATTAAATGCTGAAACACTTTTGGTTTTTATCGTTTGCAAATCGGAGCTAAATCGGGCGTAACGGCGATTAATCGGTGTTTGATAGCTAGTCATCAGTGGTTAAACACTTTCCGTCAGATATGGCCGGTGATTCATATTTTGGTTATCTTTGTCCGATCGGCAATATCGGTGATTAAGAGCTTGCATATCTCGTGATATAGGTTTGCCGTCGGTTATTTTTAAAATATTTTCACCGATCGAGAATTTAAACGTGTTTAAAAAATCCAATCGGTAATTTTTTCACCAACGAAACTTATCTTTCCCCAATAAGCAGTTGATAGGTGGAAAACAGGTGACCAATAGGTGATATCGGTGTTAAATACGTTGTCCATCGGTTCACTCCATAATTTTGCTAAAAAAACTACCGATCAATCACCGATGGCTCTGTGTAACTGGGGTGTTACATCGTGCTTTCTAACTTGTACAACGTGCTTCCTTACTTGTACATCTTGCATTCTGACTTTTACATGTTGCTTTCTTACATGCACATTATGCTTTCTGCTGTGTGCGACTTGCTTAATTTTATGTTGATGTCGTTATTTAACGATCAATTATTATTCATTTGTTGATCTGGTATATTAATTCAATAACTTAACCTGCAACTGTTTGTATTTGGGTCTATTTACTCAGCTTGAATGACGAATGTTCATATGGTAGAAATGCGCATAGCCGAAAAGCCGAAGCAGCAAGCATAATACAACGCGACATCTGGCGTGTAATAATAATATGACACCAAAAATTATGCTAACAGGTGGCGCTACAGTTATATTCTCGTAAGTCCGTATTGCGGTTCGGATTCAGTTTACCAAGTTACGTCCCTTTGTTTTAAAATTTCCATTTGCACTCATGGAGGAAATAAGGTAAACATATATACAAAACGATTTAACCAATTTTTGTATTTATTACTGAAACTCTGTGGGTCAAATTATATTTCCAGCTGACAATGACAAGTTGCACATTTCCAACTCAATGGTTTTAGAATTTTTTCATCAACAAAATAATTATAAAATAGAACAGTTGTTCAACATTGTTCAAAGTGCTTGGGTCATAAAATACTTCTTACTAAAATATTTCATCCTCTTGAAAAGTTCCTAAATTTTGACATGGCTTATTTCCAATACCCGTGACCATCCACAACATTTTTAATGTGTTTTTATTAATATGACATTTTCTTGCCTATTTGCAAACTAATTTTGTACACACGTTAGATTTTTTAAATTCAACTTGTCAAAAAATGTCTTTTTTTACTAAGTTGAAATTATTCACTAAGATGCTGTATGAATACGGCCCCATGTTCTTGTTCACAGTGTCAGCTTAAAACTGAAGGAACTGCTGCCAAAATCAGCTGATTCTGAGAAAAAAATAAAATGTCAAAACTGTCTAGTCTGTCAATCTGTGAGAGTGTAGCTTTAGGACGAATGATTTCATAATATTAATTGATGTGTACATAAAAACAAAATGTACAAAAATGGTCCCAAGAAATGGTTATAAAATGAATATTGCATGTTGGGCTGAAGATGCCTTTTAAAGAGTTTTCTTTAATTATAGCCTTCATTATATTGGAAATGTATAGCAGATCTTCTCCATTTAAAACAAAAAAGTTTTATACCTTAAGGCAAAAGTATTTGCAATATAAACACCACTGAGAATGTAGAAAAAAATGTTTATTAATATCTTCTATGACAAACAATTCATTTGATTAACCTTATATTTTGTCATTGGTGTTTTGTTTCTGTTGTAGGGAAAACCATGAGCAGACGGAACTTTTGCATATAAAATCTGCTATTAGAGACAGAATCATCCAGATCGCTAATAATGTTGGCAATTTCCGGACTGAAAACATAGAATATGAAATAGACTCAGTAAGGACATTACTAACTCAGTTGTCCTGTCATGTAGATGTAAATATGAGTTTTGATAAAGTTAAAGTAGGACATTTATATAGTGATTTATAATATGTTCCAAATTTTATTTGAAAGAAAAAGATTAAATAAATCAATGTTAGCCATTGTTTATTATCAAGTTTCTTTGAAGGTAACTACATATGTTTTTGATTTCAGAATTGAGCGGCTCTGGCAGGAAACTGTGGCAGGATGCACGTGCACCTACTTCCTGAGCTATTCCGTACAATGGAACAGGATGGAATTCTTCATGTAGACAACGAGGTCAACCTTCTTTCTCTTCACCTTGTCTTTCTGAAGAGGATTCAAAGTTCAGTGGACCGTTTTGTACATGCTGTTTCTAATCGACCACTACGGACAGAACACAATAAAACACCCATGCAAATGTGGATTATGGGACAATTGAGGGACCCAAAGATTCAGCTTACTGCTGAGGTAACTTTAGCTAAGTACTAATTTATTAAATTTTAGCTCATCTATTCGAAGAATAAGAGGAGAGCTATACTGGCGTTGGTGTCGGCATCATACCTTTGTTAAGGTTTTGCATGCAAGTACAAATTACACTATTGTGTACCAAGTACTTGATGTATTGCATGTAAACTTTATTCAATGCTTCCCAACTATCATACCAATTAAAAATGCAAGTAAGATAACTCTTTCATGCATTTAAAGCCTGTCAAAAATATGACAAACAAGATCAACAAGGAAAGGCGGCGTTCAATGAACGCAACCCCCATGTGACCCAGAAACAAGAACCAGTGGCAAGGAGCCCAGGGGGACCCCAAACAAAAACAGGACAGGGCAAAGACAGAGCACGGACAGGTTAATCACTAAATGATAAATAATTTTGAACTGGTTAGGAATTCAAAGAAAACAAAGCTCAAAGCTCAAGCTTCCTCATTCCTATTAAAACACAGATTAGTGAATCACTTCTTTTAATGTGCATTTGATTACCTAATTGCCAATATTCTACATGATCACATGTGCTGTAATGTGGTTTTACAGTTTCTATGCTTAACCAATACTAAGTAATTCAAATTATGGCCCTTTATCTTTTAACTTAGAAACTGGTTAAAGAGTGACACTTCTTTAAAGTCCATATCCTAGTAACCAATTGATTCATTACATTAAACATTATGTAAGGTGTCTCAACCATTACATAATCAAGTAAGATAATTCTATCTTGCATTTAATGCAAATTCACGGGGGAGGAAGTGTTACACGAAGGATGGAGTTCTTATGATAACCTGTTTGGAGTTCTTTAGTGATGTTCCGATTGTCGCTTGTCGCCGATGATCACTTACATTTTTGGAGAGCGACAATAATCGATTAAAATGAATCCGTTCCGCGACGTCGCCGTAATTATTTTTACCATACCAAAGGGAGTTAATTAGTCTCATAGAACGCGCGACAATGGACGCAAATGAGAGCCTTGAATTGTTTTCGCATCCAGGAAAGAAAACGAAGTCACTTGCTTGGAACTATTTTAAATTTAGAAAGGATGTTAATGGAAATATCCAGCTCAGTAACGCTATTTGCAGCATTTGCAAGAAAGTGTACAGGAACAATGGTAATTTATTTTTTGTAATGCTTTCGGATAAAGAATAATTCGGATATATTATTTTAACCCATGTTGTATACGATTTACAATTAAATTTATATTTATTTAATCAAGCAGACATACAATACAGTAAGTTACATGGAAAGGGGCTTAGAGTAAAATGAACAAGGAAGTGCATTTAAATAAATATATGTTATTATGGTTATTGAAAAACCCAGATTTTTTTTCTCTAATTTTGCACCAAGTGATGAAAGAAATTAGATATTAAATAAATCTAATATAGAAAATTTAAGGTAGTAAGTTATATTTTCTTGTGACTTCTGGTGGGTACAGTTTGTATGCCAGTTTCATTTCAGTTATTAAATAATTCAGTATTGTATTTTCATATACTGGTCGGAGAGATAACTCTGACGCATAGATAACCCCGACACTTGATAAATATAATTGTTATAGCTTTGTTTTTCAACAAACAAGCACATGATCACCTGATAGTATAGGAACAGGACAGAATGCCATGATTTTTTATAATTTGATAAACTTTTTAATGTTTTTCAAATAACCTTAGAAACTTTTTGCAGGCAAAAACTGCTTCAAAACGTTCTTTTTACTATATTACAATAAGGTTGTTATAAATGTATTGACCTGAGGCCACTGACTTGGGAAAGATTTTTGAAAAATTGTTTAAATATTTACAAAAAATAGATAAACCATATAAGATGTAAAAATAAATTATTGATGCTGATTTTCCAGTCATTTTTTACTTAAAAATTTAAGTGTCGACTTTATCTACTGTTGTGGGGTAAAAAGACCATGTTTTGTATACCTCATTCCAGACCATAAAGAAGTACCAGATTCCATTTTCATACATAATTTTTGTAATATAATGTAAAGTCTTTGAACTGAACTTTGTTTAGGTTGTTCAATATATTTAAAATATACTGGAAGATGATTTATATATTGCAAAAAATATTTGATTTAGTGTCGGAGTTATCTCTCCAACCAGTATACATATTAATTATAATTGGAAACTGGCCCCCATTTAAATTTGATATATAAGGTCTTTGATGTTGAGTGAATATTGCCTATACCTAACATAAATGAATCAAATGTAAGTGTGCATAACAAAATGTATGTGAAGAGTACAAAATGGTGTTCATCATATGAAATCTTCTGAAAAATGTCTAATTCGTCTTCTAAACTCTTCTTTAAATTCTTATGCATCTGGACCGGCTCATCTGAACCAGCTACAGCCTACAGCTCAATTAGAATTATATTAGAGTGACATTCCATCAGGTCCACTATTATGGTGTAAAATAATGCACGGTTCAGGTTCAAATGAACAGGAATATATCATAAAGTCTGATAGAGGGATTAATTTCAATTTTACAAAGCATTTGAATTATAAACTATGCATTATGATACTTCAATGCAAGAAAAATTAATATCTATTTTTCATTCTATCATGCTTATAAAAAGGGAAATGATTAAAATATGCTGAACAATATTACATGCATATTGAGTAATTTTCGTGATGTCATTTGGTTAAGTGATGTCATATTTGACGTCATATGGCGTGTATTCCTGTGTAAGCATTTTTCTTTGCTGTGCATATATCCACAGACGCTTGTGGTTTGGAGCTCAAAACGCCTTTAAAATCCAAATAAAATGCATATTTGTCAATCCCAGGACATGTACTGATCATATATATCAAAAAATCTTAATATATGCCGTTTTGAAAAAAATTCATATTTCAACATCTATAATAATACACAAGATAAAAATGTTCGCCGGAAAAAATCCGCACCCCTACCGTCATAATCACCATGTATTTTAATCCATTTCCAATATTTTCACATAATCCTTTGGTCCATCGACACAGAAGATATAATTCTTCACGATGATGGTCAATTTTAAACTTCAACGGTAATATAAACAACGCAACAGCCGAAATAAACATCAATATTCTCGCCGTTTTTTTTCAACGACAAAAACTTTCGATAAATTCAATGGACCAGACGGCTATGAACGAAGCTATCCGATTATGTGGTTCCCAAACTTAAAAGCGCTGCGCATTTTGCACACGGCAAAGCTGGGGCCACATAATCGGATAGCTTCGTTCATAGCCGTCTGGTCCATTGAATTTATCGAAAGTTTTTGTCGTTGAAAAAAAACGGCGAGAATATTGATGTTTATTTCGGCTGTTGCGTTGTTTATATTACCGTTGAAGTTTAAAATTGACCACCATCGTGAAGAATTATATCTTCTGTGTCGATGGACCAAAGGATTATGTGATAATATTGGAAATGGATTAAAATACATGGTGATTATGACGGTAGGGGTGCGGATTTTTTCCGGCGAACATTTTTATCTTGTGTATTATTATAGATGTTGAAATATGAATTTTTTTCAAAACGGCATATATTAAGATTTTTTGATATATATGATCAGTACATGTCCTGGGATTGACAAATATGCATTTTATTTGGATTTTAAAGGCGTTTTGAGCTCCAAACCACAAGCGTCTGTGCATATATCGTGTATTAATTAATGGAATAATGCACTTGACAGGCTTTTATGTTTGATAAGCGAGTTAGAATTTATGGTTAAGGAAACTGTTTCAAGGGTTGTATATAATTATTTTATGTATATACAAAATTCAAGTTGTCTTAATTCTCATTTTAACATAAACAATACATGCACTTACTTTCATGTATTTAATTTTCTTTTGAAATTGAATAAATGGACAGTACTGATACTACTGATTAAATACCAGGCATGCTATTTTTTCATACACTCAATCAGTTTTGTAACTATTGTTTAATTACATGAATGTACTGTGTATTGAAGAAGTATACTGTTATTGACAGCAATGTAAATATTCTGTTATGTTTTCTATTTCAGGCAATACTACTAACCTCGTTTTCCACATAAAACATGAGCATAAAGAGTTGATCCCACAAGCAAATGAACCAGTAAGAGATAAACACAACATGTTACAGCCTAAAATACAAACAGCAGTAACTAGACAATATTTGCCCCATGAAAGACAATCGTGTTTGAATGACCTCCTTCTAAAATTGATTGTGAGCAAGTCACTGCCATTGAGTTTGATATCAAATGATGCCTTCAAGAAGTTTGTTTCAGTACTGGAGCCAAGGTACCTTTTTCTTGTTGTTTGTTCAAATTTCAGTTTGTTATTTATGTAAACTATGTTGCAGTGTGCTTTCATTCGAAATAGCCTAAGAAAAAATTGTTTAAGTGCTATCTCTGGCCAAGTTATTTAGATCTCTCACTCAGTTTAAGTGCCAATACCATCAATAACTATGTTAGAAAATTGTATGTTTCTTGTGGAAAGTATGGGTCTTCCACATGAAAAATTGTTAAATTAGCTGGCTGAAAAAGGTCTGATATATCTGTAACTGCTGTTGACTCCAGTAATACCTTGTCAACTTATACTGTGAGCCCTTTTATATATATTACAAAATATGCCCAAAACAAAACATACCCATTTAAATGACTGAGGTTTAAATCAGGATCATATAGCAAATTATATATATTTCAAAATATGCACAAAGCAAAACATACCCATGTACATTTTTTTAGGTTTAAATTATAATCTGAAATCATATAGCAAATTTTAGTGCCTACTTTTTATTTTTATACAGATATACTATTCCATCTAAACCTGCTGCAATTGTGCTGTTGGATAGGAAATATTCAGAAATGAAACTCAAGTTGAAAAATGATCTCTCACTGTGCGAATCAGTAGCACTTACCCATGATGGATGGACAAGCAACTCAACACAGAGTTATGACACTGTGACATGCCACATGATCCAAACAGACTGGGAATTAAAACATGCTGTTCTTGGAACTGTTAAGGTAGGTTCTTAGTCAACAACATGTCTTTTACAAACACATCACTTTTAGAATAAGTTAAAATTTTATACCTCATTTGCATACGCCCTTCAATATTTAATTTGACATCATCCGGTCCATAAACCGCATACAGACCAGGGGCAGTCCATAATTCTTATATGGACTGGATGACGCCATATTAAATCTTAAAGTTCGGGGTTTTTTGCCTGTTTAATTTGATTAACAAAAATTGAATAACAAAAGAACAGCATTATTTTTTTATTTTTTTGCTGTATCGCCTGAAAATAATACATGTAATATTAAATCCGACTAGGGTTTGAAATAGTTCACACATTGAACAAATAAATTATTATTTGAAAGCAAATTATAGTAAAAATGTCAGCAACAAAAGGGATGAAAGGATTTAGATTTGGTATAATATAACAAATAAAACATGGCCTTTTAGGCAAAATCCAAGTTTACAGACTGGTAAGTCAAACCTCGGAAGGTATATGTCCCTCAGCTGCGCTTCGGGCCATATACCTTCCTCAGTCTGACCAATCAGTCCGTAAACTTGCATATTGTCCTCAAGGCCACGTGTTATTTGTTAAATATTTTACTCACCATGCTCATTAGCAAAAAATAAACGGGACATTATTTATATTTGCCAAAAAATTTCAGTTCTTACATGTCTGGTATACAGGTGTGTCTGAGACAGGGATCAAACCAGTCCACGCCCCTGCACCGTCTTAAGTAGAATTAACATTTTAAACATGAAAATGATGAAATTTTGATTTAGAAACATCTGTCCTGCCATATTTGGCTGCAGATGTTACTAAACACTCTTTAAAAAATAACTCAGTATTAACTTTTGTTGTATTGCAGGTAGAAGGAATGCATACAGGGGAAAACATCGCAGCAAATATTCAGTCAACTCTAGATGAATGGAACTTAGGTCGCCCTTCAGCCATGACAACCGACAATGCTGCCAATGAACAGAAAGCTGTCCGTCTTTTGGGTTTTACGCGCTTTGGCTGCTTTGGCCATAGGATCAATCTGGTTGTTAAAAAAGCAATAAAAATTCCAGAAATGGAAGACTTGTTGACAAAAGGAAGGACTCTTGTTTCTTTTTTCCATAAATCATCTTCTGCTACTGACTTGCTTGTGGAAAAACAAAAGTTATTAAACCCAGAGCGAAAAGATCATAGGTTAATCATGGACTGTCCCACAAGATGGAATAGCACATTATCTATGTTACAGCGTTTGATTACAGAAACCCCTTACATAGTTAACATGGCAAATGACGCAAATTTGTCAAAACATGCATCTCAAGTAATAAAGGCAAACAGTTACAGCTTTGAAGATATATCAGTTCTAGAATGTGTTACTAGTATTCTCAAACCTTTTGAAAAGGCAACAGTAAAATAGATAAATATAGAATCCCTAAAGAAAGCCCAACACGGCAAAACTGAAAATGTTGCAGGCTCGGTTTGATTGAGCCTGTTCATGGACGGTACTGGAAAGTGCAAATTACCGTCCACGCCCCCTAGCACCGGCTTAAGCAGAATTCAACATTTAAACGTGAAATAGTAAAATTTTGAATTTAGAAACATCCGCAGATGTGTTCATACGGCGGTAATCATGGAACCTTCAATGTGACACTTCCGTGCCATTCCATTAAAAGCGGCGTATGGTCCCCAAGTAATAAAAAGCGTGTGCCTTTGTTCACAGTCATCACCTACTATGCAACATGTCTGTCCAGTAATTAAAAAGCTTACATCTGTTGTACAGCCGAATGTAAATGACAATGAACTCATTAAAAACATGAAAAACACCATGATACAGGAGCTTGAAAACAGAACTCAGACAGAAGATCTACCACTACTTGCTGCCATACTTAACCCAGATACAAAACATCTTACCTTCTTATCTGAGGAAGAGCGAGAAAGGGGGCGACAACTGCTTAAGGAAAAGGCAGAGATGCTGACAGTAAAGGTGAAGAATGAAGTAGAACTAGATTTAACAAACAAGGAATCAGCATTACCACCGTTACCCTGTCTACCAGACACACTTGATAATGTTGTCCAGGTTGACGAAGTACAAGAGCCAGAATCCAAGCGGGCTAAGATAAAGTGTTCTGATTCTGTTGAATGGTTAGATGATGTTTGCATGATCACTGGAGAATCGACAATTCCCAAAGTTGTGTTAGTCGAGTCAGAGATAAACAAGTACTTTGATATTGCGCGGAAAGAATCAGATAAAAGTCTAACATTGTTAGAATGGTGGAAGGAAAATGAGTACCAATTTTCCTAGACTTTCTCGTGTGCTAAAACAGTCCTTGCTGTACCAGCAAGTTCTGTTCCGTCAGAACGTGTTTTTAGTTTGGCAGGGAATATCGTTACAAAAAAGAGGAACAGACTAAATCCTGAAAATGTTAACAAATTTATTTTCATGAATGTGAACAGAAAATTTTATTGGTAGTGTAATTAGAGAAGTTAGATTCAATGAGACAATTATCAGAATTCAAATAGTGGTAATTGAATAACTTTCCAAGATTCTAGTCATTTTTGAAGTTTCGAGTAGTTTTCAAGTCACATGTTCATTCAACTTCATTGTTCACCTGTTACTATTTACTTTCAATTTTTAGTGAAAAGTTAATGAATTGTATTTTACACTAAGAAATCTGATTGCATATAACAAAGAAGAGAATTGTTTTATTTATAGCTAACCTGAACACTAAGTTCAAGGTTAGTTTGTGATCATGTTTTGTCTGTCAGTCTAGGGTACTGTACCTACTACCTACCTGGAATTTCTGGACTTTTACTCAGGTTTATATATAGGAATTTCTTTAAATTTTCCTTTCAAGCAATAATGTCCAGAAGATAAAACTAAGTATAACATTTGTATAAAGTTTAAACAATGTTGAAAAGTGCTTAATGAAGTTAATGGTACAAAATATAATTAAGGACTTTGGAAAAATATTCCTTCTCTGTTTTCTAGTACAGGCGATTAATAATCGGAAAGTTATCGATTATATTCCATCCGATTGAACCGATAATCGATTGGGAGAAATTTCATCCGATTTCCATCACTAGAGTTCTTATGATAACTGTCAAGGAGTTCCTGGAAAACGTTACGGATTTCTGTGGAAAACTTTTCTATATACTTGGAGAACTCGCCTAAAATGGTTATTTTTAACTTTAAATGGGGAGTTTGAGGTGCTAAATTAACTTTGATAATTAAGCTTGCCCTATATATTGTATTATGTTTCAGAAAAAAATCTTTTAGTCCATATTTTGTCGCTTTTTTAAAAAAAATCTGCAAGTTTTGAGAAAAATGACCAAATTACTTGCTAATTCGTACATATTGACCTTTTCATTTGTGATCTTCTTCGTTGCTATACTTAATTACCTAATTATTATGGAGAGTTGCAAACATAAAGCCCGGGCTAATAAATTTATACCCGATTTTTCAAATGTTACGGAGTTTTTGCGATATCTCAAAATATGTCCTGGAGTTCTTATGATAACTTTTGTTACTGTCAGTGTGTTCGTGTGCTTAATCACGGCGCGTTTAAGCGTATTTTATTAGACAATAAGTGTGTTAATCATTATGAAGCATAGTACGCTTATCATTTGCACAAACATTTGGTTATATAACGTTGGTTTTGATCGTGTTTTTCAGTTCAAGAGATATTTTTCTTACCTCCGTTTCTTGTGTTTTTTGTGTTTGTTTTGGTCTTTTTGTGTGTGTGTGTTTTTTTTATATATTTTATTGGAATGACTGTAAACATACTAGATGTAGAGCATTTACTTACAGGATAAAAATACTCTTTGAATCATGATTTCGTCATATATACATTATTCCTGGCAGTTTTAGAGAACATTAAGTAACTATGCTATCGGTATGCATGTAAATGGTTTTCAGCAAAATAGGAGGTAGTATGCACTACCTTTATCTAAATTTAATGAGGTGGGTGTCGTCTTTATGTTTCAACGCGTATTTCAATTTTTAAAAGGTATCAGTTTTTGTCATAGAAAAGTATAAAGTTCTATGACAATGATATGACGATAGAAAGTAAGTCTTCAATAAGATATGTGAGTCACCGTAAGGTTTATCGACCTTGTTCCTTTCTCTATTAAATCCAATGTAGCATCACGTGACGTACAGCAATTTCCATATTTCGGAAAATTACTGCATACATTTTTCTTATCAAAGTTGGAGTCCTAGTGGAAATTTTGCAACAACTTTTGCTGTAATTGATTACAAAAATATATTGTCGAACTTCTTTCGCTCGAACCCGTAGGGCACGTGCAAATCTGTCGAAGAGATCGGTAGTAATCGGTTGATTTTTATGCATAAAAAGATCATACATTTCGGGTGCATGGGTGTGAAGGATATCCCGGTTATATACGATACATGGTTTATAATGATACAATTTACTTAGCCGCTTCTTGAGGGAAGTCCAACTACACGGTGCATATCCATATCGGTAACCTCTTTGCGAAATCTGCTCAAACGGTACCCTCTTCGAACAGGTCATTCTCTGCTACCCTCAAAGCACGACATATACTTTTATGTGTTAATCGCTAAGTATGTAATATTTACATAAAAGTAAGAAATATTACATACATACTTAACGATTAACGCAAATAAAAGCATATGTCGTGCTTTGAGGGTACCTATGTGTTCAAAAAATGAGAGGGTACCTGTGATATAAAAATTCAAATGAAGAGAGGTAGCCTGTGCCGCTGCAAAACCGAAAGTAGGGTGTTTTTATGAATTTTACATTTATTTTTGACAATATACTGCCATTTGTCCGAAGATGATATGTATATGAACATATTAAATATGTATGATGCATATATAATCAAGTCACAGGTTCATTTCAGCCCGAAAAATATGTCGATGTGATGGGCGAGGCAAGACATGTCGATTTTTTGTAGCTTATTGTGAAGTTGCAGTACATGACAATCGGGCACATGACAACTCAGCACATAAATAAAACATTCTAGTGTTCCGTTGTATATATCTTTTCTACGTGTCATACCTCCTTTCCTTACTACAATGAAATTTTACTGGATTGTTATCCATCGCTGGTTTGTTTTTAGCAGAGAATGACCTGTGCATGTTCAAACAGGTACCGTTTGAGTAGATTTCGCAAAGAGGGTACCGATATGGATATGCTCCGTGAACTACTTATTGTCTGCTTTAGAAAGGCGGCTGCTTAAAACATGTAACTGAGGAAAAAAGTGTTAAACAATTTTTCCTTGGCGGTTTAAGCCATGTTACTGCTGAATACAGGTGACCGCTGATTCAGGTTTTTCTTGAAAACCAGATTTTTATTTGTTTGTTTGTTTCATTTTACGCCTTTTCCCAACAGTATTTCAGTCATATGGGCGGGTAGTTTCCTAACCATCGTTCCTGGAGAGTTACACCTGTACTAGACTACCTTCCTCCGTGCTATACTACCAAAGCATCTCCCGGGGATCGAACCCACGCCAGAGAGGTAACTGGATTAGAAGTCATCGACTCAAACCCCTCGACCACGGAGGCGGTCGTTCCTGAAGATAGCTTAGCACCTGTTTATCCTATATATCAAGTTTTATTTTAATCCCATACCTAGTTTCGAAGTTTACTCGAAAAGGGTGTGACAGAAGGGCAGACAGACATGCAAAGTTACAAAGCGGCGACTTTATGCTGCCCTTCTTTAAAAAACATAAAAATGGGGACTGTTGTGTTTTTACACAAATCATTTGAGCAATCTTGGGATGGTAATCTAAGGAACATTTTTTACAAAATCTGTTCAAATCTAACCATCTTTGGCAAAATGACATAGTATGGTAAAAACATGGCTAGCAAATGAACTTTATTCTATTCTTTAAAGATCTTTTTACTTTGGTCATACAACATTTCTCAATTCCAAAACCAATAGCATCAACAATAACGCTCAAAAAGTGCTTTTCAAAAGTCTCATACTCCTGAATACGAGCAGTCTGTGAGAACATAATTGAAGGCGCACATGTGTTGACAGTTGTTAAATTACTTGATGTGTGGCTAAATTCAACCAATCTACATTCTATATTTCGTGGAAGTGTTTCACATCCTATGAGAGCCTGAAGAACATGTCCAGTGTTAATCACCAAACGAAACAGAATAATAATTTCTACCTGAATGGAGTATATTGCCCATATTGTTAAAAAAAAGATGGTAGGTTAGGTTAGACAATCATATCCTTATTATTTTCCCAACATACATACAATGACCAGTTCACAAGTAATAAATAGGTTTTATCAAGAAAAAAGTAACAATGACAGTCTATAATGTTAGTTCAAAGATTGGCTTGTCCTATTGTTGTCTCATCAACACTCAAAAGATCAATTTTTATGTGAGACGATTGTTGTTATGCAGTTGGAAGGAAATCAGGTTGGTTTTATTCTTCTATTTATCTAAGAATCAGGGAAGAGAAGTGTATCCCTACAGGTGCAGAAAGAAGTAACAGTTTGGAACATTTTTGCAGACTTAAATTAATAAATAATTGGTTGAGCCACTACAAAATTAAATTAGCCGAAACTTTTATGGGTTCGAGCTGTCCTTTTACATTTGAGGAATTATTTGGCTAAACAGAAGAATTAGGCAAATTGACAGAAACAAAACAAAAATAACATTTTATTTAATGCTTTCCAGTGGTTTATTGAACTGTAACGGTGGATTACATATTGATAAACTTACCATTTGAAACAATGAGTTATCGAAATATAATTTCACTGTTTTCTCAGATTCTACCTGTTTCATTGTAAAAATGCTAACATGAGAGCAAGCAATGCCAGCAAAGAATGCAATGCAATTTTGTTTCTGATATGACGTCATTTGATTGAAATTTTGCGCTGTTTCCCTATTACTAATTAATACTAATTAAATGTTGTTTTTGTTAAATCATTAGCATGAAATAGTAAAGTCACTTGGGAAATATTACTTTTGGTGCTCACTTGGTGAAATATATCGAACATTTTTAACTGAAACAAACAAATTTGCTCTATTTAATGCAATTGATGTAAATTAAATTCATGAATCCAAAAACATTACACAACGAAGTGTCAAAAATCAATGATTTTTTTTGTCATTTGACTTGTAATCATTTTTTCAAAGGTTAAACATTTTGGGATAATGAAGGGGAATTTTGACCAAATTTGGGGAAATAGGTACATTCCTTGGCTAGATGAATGGGAAATTATACTGGCCCTAAAAATTAGGGAGAGCCCTGGAGTTCTATTAAATTTGAAGTGCATATAAAGATGCTCACATGCTGACATGAATAACATATTAATTTTTTTTAAGTACATACGTTCCGCTTTCTTTAAGAATTTCCCAAAGTTATACATGATCATTTCTTCCCTCATCTGGTGTGTAAGTCGGTTTGAAGAAACTTTGTACACTGGAGATGTGGTAAAGAACTTTATATTCTCCTCAGCATGTCCCTGGATGGCAGTTTGAACACCAGGAAGTTCCAAACCTGCAAAGAATGATTTAAGAACATATTTACTTTTCAATGTCTTTAGACGTTGCCTGAAATTAAAATGTATACCACTTTGCTTCCATCTGCTTGATTTGAAGTAAAAGAGAAAAAAGATCACATTCGGTTATGGTGAATACATATCAACATCCAGTGAACTGATGCTTTAGAAGTTTTAAAAAAGGTTTAATTTAGACAGATTTTATTTCATATTAATCTTTAAATAAAACGGGAGCACATCTCAATAAAGTTTTACTGGTATATAAGAGTGAGGTTCCTTGCTATATATGTGCAAAATGACACTGGCAATGTGTGCATACTATGTGTCTCACTATATACTTGACCTGCATGTTTGAAACTTTAAAAATACTAATAACAAATTGCTTCCTTACTGAAATCATTTGAAATCATATTCCTGTATTTACAACACAATGAATAGTTTTTTCTCTCCAAATTTACTCGGTATCAATAATGAATACAATCATCCATACCACTAAGTCTTGTGACACATATACCTTAGTCCATTCAAATATTGGACGTTCTTTAGTTATGTCCAACCTTTTGCATGACATTGACAAGAAATGACCACAATGGCTTGATTCTTTTATTAAACACCACACGCCCCTCACTTAAAAAAAACCCCAAAGAGCATTGATTTTCAAAGCCACTGTATACATTAAAACAAGAATATAGGAAACTGTAACGATCTGTTACACTTTCCAATTAGGTAATAATTACTAAATGCAAATACAAAATACATCTTCACAATCTTACCAGTTAAATTCCCTATCTGATGTTTTTATAATATCAAATTTCTGAGACAAGGCTCCTAACTCATTCCAAACACAACCAGCCTCCCAGTATTAAAATAGTATTAAAATCATGTTTTACATTTTTCTTTAAAATCTATTTAAATTCTAGATAGATAGATAGATAGATATTCAGGTTAAAACACACATACATGTATACATAAAACAACACTTTAGCATTTTATATAAAACTGATGACACAATTGTAATAAAATATTTCGGAAGTTTGTCAGACATAAATATCACAGACGGCTCATTAAATAATAAAATATTATAACTAAAAACAAAATCTAAAACTCTTTCATTCCTATGACTAGATATCAATTTACTAGTTTAATAAAATGTAAGGACGTAAGTGGAAACATGTATAGAGTAGTGTGCAATAACCTCGGATTGCCCATGAAAGCCCGAAGGCTTACTTCCAATGGGGTCCTTGGATATATACTTACTATAATACAGTCGACTCTCGTTATCTCGAAGTCATTGGGACCGTCCAAAAAATATCGAGATAACGAAATGTCGAGATAAACATATTAGGGTTAGAACAAGGCGAAACTGATTTTTACAAAAGACATGTGCATACCTTATGTCAAATAAACTATAATATCCCCATGTCTTGTTTTCATAGGCCTAGTCAATATTTAACGAAGTAACATAAGCGGATGTTTACCAGCGGAAATACGGGTGTCTGTGATAAAAACACATAGTGAGGTTTACTCAGTAATACACCAATATAGTGAATCGGATATCGGATATGGTTGATCCGGATATCCTCCCGGGTTATTTATCGGGTCTTTCTCGAGATTGTTCCACCGCTGATTGATTTGGTGGTGATGTTGTGAAACAATATTGCAACGATAGCGTTTCTATACTTTCACTTTTTCATTTACATTTAAAGTCATAATGAATTGATACAGTGTTCGAATATTTAAAAAGAATGTAAAATTCACTCATTGTGGACATAAGTCAATCAACACGCTAAATAGATTAACTTTTATAAAAACAGCTAAACTTGTTACAAACATAATCGACATTATGACACGCGCTATTAATTGAGCAATTATCGTCTAGATTGTGTTTTTCACACGTCTGAGGGGAACGGACGAAGTCGAGATAAACAAAGGATAATAGTGTGAAAATAACTGTTGGGGCTGAAATTTTACATCGAGATACTGAAAATATCGAAATAGAAATATCGAGATAAACAAATATTTCCAATATTGTTAAAGAAGGAAGAAAATCGGGACTTTCAAAATTTCATCGAGATAACGAAATATCGAGAAAAGCGATGTCGAGATAACGATAGTTGACTGTATACAATATAAAACACAAAAACATTGGAAAATACAAAACTTTGGAAACTGGAAGATGTCATTTACGTAAAATATCAAATTTTAGTATTTCCATTAACTTTGCTAAAAAGAAAACAATAAAAATGAGATCAATATCTAGTCATACTAGTGGATTTAATTATGATTTACTAACCTAACTGTTCTAGTAAATGGGCCTTCACAGAGCTTTTGAAATTTCCTATCTTATTAATTTTTTTGATGTATGTTGGCAAGGAATTCCAATCATTAATTGCTTTTTGAAAAAAAGTTACATTATCTTTCCCATAACTTCTTGGGACCCTAAAATTGTACTGATTCGACCGAGTTGAATAAGAATGAATGTCTCGAACAGGTATAAAATTTTCTATCATATATGAAGGGCACTGGTTATTAATAATTTTAAAAACATGATTAAGACGTAATTGCTTATTTCTGTTTTCTACATTTAGTAAAGACATATTAGCAAGAATAACATTATTGACACTATCTCTAGGTCCCATACCGTGTATAAATCTAACAATTTTATTTTGACAAATTTGAAGCTTATTTTTAAAACACTTGTTCAGGCTCGGGTACCAAGAAGAACATGCATAATCAAGGTGACATTGTATTAGTGCTGAGCATAAATATTTTCTAGTCCTAAAATCTAAAACATTTGCTTGCCTATACAAAAACTTAAGACGTGAATTCACCTTTGTGAGAATACAATTAACAATAGATTCACCTGACAAAGAAATCATCAATATTTAAACCTAGATATTTAACAGATTTTGTGGATTCAATAGTATGTCCATTACAAACAATTTTGAACTCTTTAACTTGTTTTAGTTTACGTTTGGAACCAAAAATAAGACATTCAGTCTTTCCTAGATGAAGTGACAATTTGTTATCTACAAGCCAAGATGAACAAGACTCTAGTGTTTGTCCAAGTTTTTGAGAAATAATACTTGGATTTTTGTGAGCAAAAAGAATTGCACTGTCATCGGCATACAGAATAAGTTTACATTCTTGATCTATACTAATTCTCATGTCATTTACATAGCACAAAAATAAAAGAGGACCCAGGATGCTGCCCTGGGGACCCCACATGTAACAGGCATGTAATCTGATAAAATATTATCAACACTAACAGTTTGTTTTCTACCTTTAAGATAAGACATAAACCAGTCAGTATTAGAGATACCCATCAATTTCAATTTTCCACATAAAATATCATGGTCAACAGTATCAAATGCTTTTTGTAGATCTAACATTATCATGCCTGTGTATAATCCTTTGGAATTATTGTTTCTGATATGATCCATAAGATGGATAAGACAAGTGTCAGTGGAATAGGAATTTCTAAAACCTGACTGTAATTCATACAATAAACCATTATCAACTAAAAACTTTTCAAGTTGAGAATACACTGATTTTTCTAAAATTTTTGAAACAATGCTTAAAATGCTTACAGGTCTATAATTTCCTACTTCAAGATTACTGTTCTTTTTATATAAAGGTTTTACCCTAGCTACTTTCATGTCATCAGGGAAATAATTTTCTGAAATTGACATAAAGTAAATGGTATTTTCAAAAAGGAAGCTGCGTCTTTTGAAAAATCTAGCAGGAATTTCATCTAAACTAGTACTCTTTGATGAGTTTAAATTCTTAAGCTCTTTATATACAAATGTCCCAGACAAATGTTTTAAGTACATTTTATTATTCTTAGTATTTCTATCATTTTAAAAATCTAACAAAGCTTGTGAGTCAATGTCAATCTTTTTGCTAGCACAAGGTAACTTATCAACAAGCTTAGAAGCAACAGTAGGAAAAAAAGTCATTAAAATGATTAGCAATTTTTAAAGGATTATGACAATTTTCACTATCAATTTTTAAAATAATATTTTCATTCCCTGTAACTTTGGATTTGTGCCCCAATTGTTTTAAATGTTTCCATATGCCTTTTGGATTATTTCTATTTTCAGCAATTTGATCAGTAAAATAAGAAGACTTAGCATGTTTTACTTCTCTTTGAACAACATTTCTAAATTTACAATAACAAGAAAAATCTTCATGGCAACCATATTTTCTAAACTTGTATAAATAATGATCTCTTGTTTTGATATGGTCTAAAATCTCTGATGACATCCAAGGTTCAGTTCTCTGTTTTAATCTAATTTCTTTAACAGGAGCAATGGCATTCAACACTGACATAAAAATATCTTTAAAAGCTACCCATGAACTGTTTACATTATCAGAATAAAAACATTTACTCCAGTCTGCTTGACCTAGTTTTTCAATAAACAAATCTCTACTATAATTTTTTACACATCTAACTTTAGAGAAATAATGTTTTGAGAAACTTTGTTTGCTGATTTTCCTTGTACAAAAAGTCAAAAAGTGATCACTTAGGCCAATAGAAATAACACCATATTGACTTAGCCTATCTTTTGAATTGGTAATGATATGATCAATTATACTTTTGCTTGATAAAGTAATTCTAGTGGCTTCAGTAATGATCTGTTGTAGATCAAAAATTTTCAAAATGCTAGTGTAGGATTTAAAAATTGAACTATACTTTTGGTAAAAACAAATGTTAAAATCTCCAAGAATGTAACATTCACAATCTGATCTAATATATGATATGAAAAACAAGATCAACAAGGAAAGGCGGCGTTCAATGAACGCAACCCCCATATGACCCAGCAACATGGAGGGGGACACCGACACTGAACGCCGAACAATCCCTTGAGGATGAAAATATAACAACTATATTAAATATATTAATTATATTAAATATTAAGACTATATAAAACATTTTCAAAATGTTCAATAAAATTTGATTGTTTTGGAGGTCTATATATAGTACCTACAGGTATTGGTTTGGTTTTTGGTAAAAGAATTTCAATAAAAATAATTTCATCATTAAAAACATTTAGGTCAGGTCTAGCAGTAAAAGCAATATCATTCCTCACATAGCAACACACTCCTCCTCCATGCCTGTCTCTATCATATCTTATAACTGTATAATTGTCAATATTAATTTCTGAGTCTGTAACAGACTTGTCAAGCCAGGTTTCAGATATACCAATAACAGCTGCTTTAGTTTTTAATGCAATTATTCTTAGTTCAGAAATTTTAGGCAAAAGAGATCTAACATTTAGGTGTAAAAAATGAAGTCCTTTTTTGAAGCACTGGAAGTGATCATCTGGTATAGTTGATGGTACAGTAGTTGAAGTAGTTAAGTGCTGTCAAATAAAGATGATGCATCATGGTCCCGGAGATCTGTAAAATCTGATGATGAACTGTTGTCTTTAAAAAAGTCTTGATAATCACAAAAAGGCAGTTCATTAAGTAAACATAATCTGCAAATATATGGAACATGAGTAAAGTTGTGTTGTAAAATTGAACGGTGTACACTAGAATTATCACAATCAGCACATTTCATGTGAATAAATCGCTTAAATAAATCGCTTCAGAACTTTAATAGTACCTGCGTTTAATTGTCACAGCGTTTAATTTTCTAATACATCGTAAATGAGCCCTTAAACTTTGCAGACATAACTGGTACCAAAGTATTTCAAACTGCTGACAACCTGTCTTTTCAAATTAAACATTGATAGTGTCCGATCCTTTAAAACATGTATGCAATTAAGATGGAGAAATGCATTGACTAAAAATATTGATTTCAAAACAAGTATTTTCAAACATTAAGTAAACCCATGCCTTGTCTTAATTGAAGAAGTGGTCCAATCACATGATAAAAGGTGAAGTGCCGTTTCAGAGCATGTACAGCTTCACTGGTGGTTGATGATGACAAAACTTTTCTAAAGCCCGCCTGCCCAAGTAAATCACCATGTCTTTGAACAAGGTCTCCAGATCCTGTACTGTCTGTTGAGATCTGCAAAATAATTACCGATCATAAATGGGAATTATACCCTTTTGAGAGAGGGAGTCATATTTTAATTTGTTTTAGACTACATACAAAGTTGTTAAATACACTAACCAGACGGTGTATGAAGATTGAGCAAAGGGATATGATCAACATACATATATATGTTTGATTCAAATATATAATAAAGTTTCTTACAATTTGTACATGTTTACACTGGAGACTAATTGATAGCACTGGTCACAGTTGGTCACAGTGTTATGGTTTTAAAATAATTCCACTGTCATTATCATAATGATGAATGAACTTCATCCAAAACTTTTTATTCAGTATAACATGCTTTAGCATTTTCTTTCAAATCAAGGGAGGCTATTTTGTGACAACAGGTAATAGAGTTGTGGTTCCTGTACATTAATTAGGCCATATTGCCATTACTAAATTGATAATTTACCGTAAGTTTCATTCAATTCCTTCTTAATCTTTCCAAGTTCAGATAGGTTACAAAGGACCATAAATCATACAATATGTATGAAATTTGAAGTTGGTATCTGAAATGGTTTTTAAAGTTGTTAGGAAAAAACTTTAAAAAATGCATATATTTTTTCAAATATAACAATGGGCAGTGTCTTTTATGTTGTATTTATAGAGAAACATTACTTTGAAAGGAGGTAAAGTAAACTTCTTCCCCTTTTCGGGCCTATTTTTATTTTCTTTAAATTCCTAATCAGTTACAAATTAATTATCATTTAATGATTAACCTGTCCGTGCTCTGTCTCTGCCCTGTCCTGTTTTTGTTTGGGGTCCCCCTGGGCTCCTTGCCATTGGTTCTTGTTGCTGGGTCATGTGGGGGTTGCGTTCATTGAACGCCGCTTTTCCTTGTTGATCTTGTTTATCATATTTCAATTCTTTAACAAAAACATACATCTTGTATGGCTGCTAACACATCAGGCCTTCCAACATATTCATCTGGTATATCTGCTAGATCTGGTTCTTCACCAGTACAAATGAAGCTTGCCAACAATGGATTCAAACATGTTGGGCGGCCTGGGTGTCCTGCGAGGATGGTACGCGCAGTAGCTCTTCCCATTGTTACATATGTCTTCTTTTCAAGCAGACCTGAATCTAATCTGAATGATCCATTTTCAAAAAGGTCATTGTTCTTAAACAACAAGCTGAAAAACTCCCTGCTTAAGCCACCTGCATCTAAGCCCTCTTCTCCTATGAAGTGAATTTTCATAGGTTTTTCCCAGTCAATTGTCAAATCATTTGATAGTTCTTCTTATGTTTTAAAGAAATTTCTCCTCACAACATTGATAAGCCAGTTTTCACTACTGTCTCCAACCGTTGCTGCTATGGCATCTAATTCTGCATCACGAGTCCTCTAAAACAAATATTTCTTATAAAAACTCAAGACAGGGAACAATTTGTATATGTAAAACAAAGCTATACAAGGTCCTAAACTGGATGACAGCATTTTTGGTAGTATAAAGTAAATAATAACTCCGGTTATAATAAAACTTCAGATACTACAAACAAATAATTTTGGCCTGATTTTCACTTCCTTATCCCATGTAATAATATACATATATAACATACTCTGGATATGTTAAACAATTTTGTAATGCATGGTCAAGATAACCCCAGTTTAGACAGAAGCACACATGCACACATGTAACGTTATGCTTATGGACTTGTCCATAGCTTTTTACATGTATCCTGCATTTTATCAATGTAATATATTATGCTGACTGTATATAATTTGTCATATGTTTAATTATGTCTTTTGAATAAATTTTCGAGTCATTTCAAGACTTTATTAATTAAATAAAACTGCAATAAAAAGGGCAGAAACGTCTCGCGGAAAAGGGCCGGAACGTCTTGGGGCCGATTTTTGCACAGGGGCCGATTTGATTTGCGGCCGATACGCCCTGTTTGCAATCCAACACTGACAATTCTTTATCACTTAACCAAAAAAAAAATGAATCTACAACTGCCTTTTGGTGTATAGATTTTAAAAATGATCAGACCACATGACATCAACATTATGGCTTAATTGCAAAAAAGGGACATAACTATTGTGATCGATATTCCGGATACTCGTATATTTTCGGTAATTTCCGTATTGTTCCGTACATGTTTCCGAATTTGCGCCCTCAGTCGTTAAAAAGAGTGTAGTTTGCAACCTGCCTTGTTGTACTGCACAGTTCGTGCTTCCATGTATTATTTATACATGTATAATCGATTAACATAGGTTTCCTATTTTTGTACACATTAACTGTGGACAGTTGACGATCATTATTATTAAACTGAACTGATTTTAGCATCAAACATATAATTTTAACGAAGACAAATTTGAAGATAGTCAAATAACGAACGATTCATGCAATTTAAAAAGCAAAATGTGCAAGTCATAATGCAAGATGTGCAAGCCAGAATGCATTGTGTGCATGTCATAATGCAAATGTAATAGTAAGAATTCAAGATGCACAAGTCAGAAAGCGCAATGTAACGTAAGAAGGCAAGATGTACAAGTCAGAATGCAAGATGTACAAGTTAGAAAGCACGACATAACGTAAGAAAGCAAGATGTAATTTTGGCATAAATAACCCTCAATATCTTTCTACCTTTCTTATATTATAAAATCATGTTACATTTTTCGCAAGTATGAATTATTTTGGTTGATCTAGAGGCATGCAGCTTTAAAATTTAAATGTTCAATATTCTTTTTTAAAAAGATTAGCATGTCTATATTGTTACTATCTAAGGTAGCTCCCTGTGCACAAACGATATCTCCAGCGGTTGATAAAACGCGCTCACTTGCTACTGAAGCAGCTTGGATTCCTAAAAAGTACTTAGCCACATCTAATAATAATAGATAATTCTGTGAATTTACACTTCACCAACTTTACGGACAACTTCTCAGCTCTATTTGAGTTTCAGTTTCATATGTCTTAACTTCCAAGTTGACACGCTCAGTAACACTTTTTGCAGGCTCTACCTTAACTACAAATATATCCCCAAATAACTCATCCAAAGCACACAGTTAAGGTTTTTTTAATCTGAATATCAGAGTCATCAGCACATGGCGTTGTTTGATAAGTTTCCACAAATACAGTAGGGAGGACTGGCAAGTTGGGCTGTGTCTGATCTTCACGTATTGCTGGCGTGTCATCCGATAATTCATCTAATACAACCTAAAATTATATAAAACAAGTAAATACAAATAAAACTTCTATTTTGGTATATGACCTTTATATGACACTGGCTAGGGGCTATTGTACAGTTTACTTGTGAAGGAAACAACTTTCAGACTTGAGATAACATTGAGTAGAACAACTAAATAATATTAGACAAGCTGGCTTTATATTGAATAGTACTCTCGGCTCTTTCAAGAAATAATCATTTATCAAAAGATCCATACTTCCCGACTGGATTTCAAACAAAAAGCAATGGGGGCAAGCGAGTAAAATTCAATGACCTTTAATAATATCCATGTCTTCCAAATAGAAAAAACAATGTTCAACTTCAGTAAAGCTTTTAAAATAATTTGTAAAAATTATAATTATTGAACAAAGTATACTAAAAATTGTATGTTCTTTACTACCTTTGTCTTAACATTAATTTCTGTAAAATTTAGTAAAACTAAGTGTAAGTATTTAAACAATACTCTGCTTTTAATTCAATACTGCAAGTTGAACGGCTTAACAAATTATTTTCAATTTATAATCAAGGATTGTAATTGAACATTTCAGCAGTCATTTCAACTGCTTTTTGTTGGAGTGCTTCACATACACGCAGTCGTCGTGTTTCATCAAGCTATGGGAGTGATTTATACCTAGGTTCAATGCCACTTGACATCAGTACGAATTCCTCAACATTTGGATCAGTATACATGTAAATGTAAAAGAACATTAAAAAGAAAATATCATCAAAATTCATGTAACTCTTTGGCATATTACCGTCCATAAAAGGATAAATTCATGAAAATATTAATATGACCTTACTGTTTTTACGCACTTAAGAAATGATAAAGATCAATAAAAGTCCTTATAGGCTTTTACAGAGTTTTTATCTTAAACAAATGTATGTTTTAATAATTTCACTATTGTGTAAGACTATTACAGAGAATCATTTTTCCTTCCATTTAGCTACTTCCATTAATCTTACTTTTTAGGACACTTTAAATTAAATAGTTAAAGCAATATAAAGTACAGCAATACAATATAACTTCAACAAAATTGAAAACAAGTAAAACACAGCTTGGTTTGAAATCAGCAGCCATTGTAGTTTTAACAACTTTTATCAAGTTGCTGTCACCAGGCTGTACATCCAGGTTTCTAAGATGCTTGTTTTGCATGGGATGAATAATCGAGATTGTTGGGTGCTTAGTGTCGCACAAGATATTTTCACAACCTGCAATTGAAAAGGTTTAAACAAGTTCATAATAAAATTAAATTTCAAAATATTTTGATATTTTTTAGGAATTGTGAAGTATAAATAAACAAATAAATACCTATGTCTTATTGCATCATTAAACTCACATGGGGGAATCAAAGGCACATCTTCAAATTTGTGACTAAATTGCTTAAGAATTTTTCGACTATCCATATTTATCAATAGTCTAATCAGTCTACTTATCAGCGCATATAATAAAAAAGTTAAAAACTGATAATGATAAAAGGAACAACAGTAAATAATAAACTTAAAAGGCTTAAGAAGCTCTACAAAGTGTTCGGATCTGAAGACAGAGTAACAATGTCTTTGACATTTTTCTTCACATCCTTGATGGACTGTGTAAAATAAATAGATGGCTGTTGCTCAAGATAGCGGGAGACCATGTCATAGGTTGAATTCCTTCTTGTGCTGACATCAATCACACGCTTTTCCTCCTTAAGCTTCAGTTTGTTCTAGGTTGCTTTCAAGATGGACGCTGCTGTAGTGCTTTTTATGAGAAAAAGCAACAACTCTTCTAATTCTACCCAATAGTCAGTCCACCTACAACGTATTTAATCCCTTCTGAACTGCGAAATTGATAGTATGTCCAAAGCAACCTATGCATACGGGGATGTTTGCCAGCTTTGTAGCTTTGATTATGTTGCTTGCGTTACCAGTGGTAAAACGCCATTTACATTTAGTTTTAATTAATTGATAGTGTCCAAAATACCTAGGGCCAAGTGTTCTGCTGTGTGACTTTCACTTACTAAACGGATAAGAAGAGTAAAGTTCGTGACCGACCAGTTGCTTGCAATGAAATGAGCAGTGAATGTTATTTAATTTTCAACAGCCCTTAAGGTTCAGGAATCAGTGGTTAGTGCCATATATTTAGCTTGCACAAGTTAACTTTGAACACAAGAGCAAACTCTTTTGTAAAGTTCAGGTACTATAGTTCCTGAGAAATAGGGAAAACTTGGAACTTTAGCCGGTGCTAGGGGGCGTGAGGGATGTTGCACTTATTCATTATCCCTCATGTACAGACTCAATCAAACCGAGTCTGCAATTCTTATGTTATTTTGTTGTGATTAATGCTTCCGAGGGATCACTTTGTTTCCAGAATTTTATATCTGGGTTCAAGTACATGAAGAAGATGCTGAAAGTTTTCTACCACAGAAAATGGTCTCATATCATACCAATAAAACATCCCACCGCTCTATTTAGGGCTTTAGCTTTTGGGTGCATCGAACCAAATAAATTTAGACGACTGCATCAATGCATCAGTTATTTTCAATTGTCCTTTTTGTTTTGCATATTCATTTTCAAAAACTGTAGGGCACCAATTTTTCGTTTTCATTTGTGGTTGAAAAGTGCTGCTAGATTTCGAATGTGAAAATAAATCAATGGAATGTTTACGATTCAGATGTTTTGCAATGTTAGGCGTATTTCCAACCTCGTAACCTACATCAAAAAAACAAAGTTTACAAGTCACGTGTGTTTGAACTTGTTACCGTTCACGAAATCCAAAAGACTTCCAAACTTGCAACCGAAAATTTGACGGGGCACACAATAAAGTTATATTTTTATTTGCAAGCGTCTTCTCAACCTCGTTGTTATATTCGTACTCCATTTTGCAAAAACAGGCAAAAAAGAAAGCAGCGAATAGATTGTATATTAAGATTATACGCCGGCCAATAGTAAATCAGGAAAATACATAAGAAATTGAACTCAAAGCAATAAAAACACCAGGAATATCAACTACTGCAATAAATGTAGACAAAACCGAACCGATATTGCCGCTGACGA